AGGAGGAGCAGCTGCTCAGCCTGCGGGACTCCTTCAGCAGCAAGCAGGCCAGCCTGGAGCTGGGCGAGGGCGAGCTGCCTGCCGCCTGCATCAAGCCGGCGCTGACTCCCGTGGACCCGGCCGAGCCACAGGATGCGCTGGCCACCTGCGAAAGCGACGAGGCTAAGATGCGCCGTCAGGCCGGGGTGGCTGCCGCCGCCTCCTTGGTTTCCGTGGATGGGGAGGCGGAAGCCGGCGGGGAGAGCGGGACGCGGGCCCTGCGGCGGGAGGTGGGGCGGCTGCAGGCGGAGCTGGCCGCTGAGCGGCGGGCCCGGGAGCGCCAGGGTGCCAGCTTCGCAGAGGAACGCCGCGTGTGGCTGGAGGAGAAGGAGAAGGTGATCGAGTACCAGAAGCAGCTGCAGCTGAGCTACGTAGAGATGTACCAGCGCAACCAGCAGCTGGAGCGCCGGCTGCGGGAGCGTGGGGCCGCAGGGGGCGCGAGCACGCCCACTCCCCAACATGGCGAGGAGAAGAAGGCATGGACCCCCTCCCGCCTCGAGCGCATTGAATCCACAGAAATCTGATCGACCTGGGCACTCGGCCTTATGACAAATGTGCTGTCAAAAGGCCAGAGTCCCCAGTGTCCCCTCCCCTCCACCTCTTTTCCCCATAGACTCCATATCCCCAGACCAAAGAGGTTCTCTAAGCAGCTGTGACCAGGTTCCTCCCTCCCCACCTGCCCTCCCAGCTCCAGCACTGCCCCTGTGGCAGCCCACTCGGACCCTCCTAAAAGAAGGGAATAGGGGGAGGGCAGGGCAAGTGAGGGCGATTCTAGGTGGTGGGGGAGTCATGCTCCCTTTCTTGGCACCCCCTTGTTGGAGATAGAGGCAGCAGGCCTGCAGTGATGAGGTGCCCCAGTCCTTCTGGGGATTTGGGCTGCTACTGTTGGCCCCCCTGTGTCTAGTGATGCTCACTGTGCTCACCTCCTAGGCCAAAGGAGCCTGAGGAGGCCTGCACTGGGTTTGCTGAAACTGACAGACCCTGGGCTCCTGACCTCTCTCCTTCCTGTAGTCCTCTCCCTCCCTGGGTAGATTGGCAGGACAAGTGGGAGCAGATGGCCTGCCTGTGGTTGAGAGGGCTACTTGCCCAGTCCCTCCCCCACGAAGGTCTCTTGGGCTCAGGCCTCAGAGCCTGGCCTGGTCGTGAGTGTGTGTCCCTGTGTGTGTGTTGCGGCAGGGGAGGGCTGGGGCTGGAAGTCCAGCACCTAGGGAAGATCTGCCCTCCTGTTCTTGGGAAGGGTTGCCTGACGGCTTCTCGACTCTACCCTCACCCTTCTGGCCAGGATCCCGCAGGGCAACAGCCCCATCTGCTTGACTGACCCCACACCCAGGGCCACCGTCCGGCTCTAATACAGCTATTAAGTGCTACCTGCCTCTCAGGCACTCTCCTCGACCAGTTTCTGAGGTCAGATGAGTGTCTGTGATGTCTTCCCGCACTATATTCCCCAGCCTCTTTCTGCTTTCATGCTCAGCATATCATCTTCCTAGGCAGCCTCTTCCCCAGAGTCTCACCTTTTCTTTCAGTAGAAAATTCTGCTTGACCTTTGGTGCACTACCCACTTCCCAGCTCCACTGGCCCAAGTCTGAGCCGCAGGCCCTTGTTTCAGGGGCAGGGGGAGGGTTGGATGTGATTGCCCTTGAAGAACAAGGCTGACCGGAGAGGTTCCTGGCACCCTGAGGTGGCTCCGCATCTGCCCAGGGTAGGCCTGGCATGAGGGGTTAGGTCAGCCAATGTCAGTTCCTCCTCTTGGGGCCCTCTCAGAGTCCATCTCCCCAAGACAGGAAGGGAAAAGCAAATTTCTAATTCACCAGCAATAAAAATTGGAGGAGGCTTGGCCCTCAGCCCTTATATTTCTCTTTTTCACTCTCTTCCTCCCACCCCCAAGACTGAGTATGGGGGGGCAGGGTGGAGAGAGCTGGCAACTACTGTGAGCAAGTCCCCCAGCCCCTGACCAGCCTCCTCCCATGACTGGTGACTGTTTAATGAGCTGTGCATCCCCCACAAAAACATGAGTGCCCCTCTGTGTGGCCTCTAACCCTCTGCACAGCCCTTCTGGGTGGTCCTCACCAGTTCTCAGAGCTGGGTGGGAGGCCACCCTGGCAACCACTGCCCATTCCATTTACCCCTCACTGCACCTGCCCTAGAACCTGGGCCTAGGCCACAGGGGCAGGGAGAAGAGAAGGCATTAGTAAGAAAAAAAAAATAGAAAAAAAAATATGAACAGACTCAGCTTTGGGACGTCCAACCACAAAAGAAATTATATACAAATATATATAAATATATATCTCTACCATATGTGATGGAAAGACTTTTTGTTTTCCTTTCCCAAAGAAATAAAATGGAAAAAGCCTCTTTAGTGGTATTCTTTGGCCTGCTGGTGTCTTTGCAGGTGTGGGAGATGAGGCCTGGGTAGGGGACAGGGGGCAAAAGGAGTAAACAGATTCCCCAGAGGAAGCATAAGACGGGAGGTGCTCACTGGCCCATGCCAGGAGGTTGGCCCAAAGCCCAAGCTCTGCCATGTTGCTCAGGAAGAGTCGTGGTTCAACGCTTTTGCCCAGTGGGTCTTTCTCTTCACCTTAGACTGTTGTCAAAGGGATTTCAAGCTGGTTCTGTCTCAGAATCTGGACACTAAGCTGCTAATCAGAAAACAGGTGACACAGGACAGCCAGATGCAGCCTGCAGTCGCCTAAGCCACCCTATAGCAACTGGCAGATTTGCAGGCTGAACATGTAGACATGAAGACTGAGAACAGGTTTGCAGTTAATGGTGAAGCCCTAAAGGCAAAGGGACCCAAGGGTGCTGCGCAGCAGAGAGCTTCCTTTACAACACTTTCTTCTGTCATCCTCTCAAAGCACCACAATCAAGAACGCATTCTGCTATAAGGAACATGTAGGACCTCAAAGAATGGTTTATTTTTCCCCAACCTGACAAGAAATCGGGAAGTGGGTGTCATGGTTGTTGGATCATTGGGGACCTAGATTTTCAGCCTTCCACTGTCCCATCCTTAGCATATTGTTTCCTTCTTACCACAAGGTGGCTGCCACAGCTCCGTGAAGGCCTTGAGGCTACCCCACTTTATCACGAAAGTGGCCTGCTTTCCCAGGACCCTTCACTTTAAGTCCTGTTGGCCAGAACTGAGTCACATGCTCCTCCCACTTCAAGGGAGAATGGGAAATTGAGTATTACAAAGAGAAACAGGATTGTCATGGCTGCCTGGGACCAAACATGGTTCATTCCTTGGGGGTAGGCTCTCTGCCTTCTCTGAGTTCTACTGGCAAGGACAGAGTCATAGCAACGAACAGTGTTTGCCCTGGTCTGGCCTGAGTGAGAGAACACTCCCCAAGCAGTAGTGTCTGTGGTCTGGGGCTCCAGATATTCAAACAGCGCTGTTTCCAGAGCTCAGGAGTTGGGACGCCAGGCTTGCACCTCCTTTCAGGGACGTGTTCTCCCTGCAGTGATTTTGGCTTCCTGACAAGATAGTGCCCTGGAGGGAAAATGATTTCACACTCTCCCTCACAGCCCTTAGGATGTGTGGACTGGTAGAGCCAAGGCATTGACAAGATATGAAAACCCTGATAAGCAGATCTCAACTGCTCTCAGGAATGGCAGCCTGGGGCCAGGCCTTCCTGATAGGTAGAGGCTTAGTAGAGTCTTTTTCTTGTTTAGGCACCTATGCCTATACTGACAGCTGTGTCAGTATATGTACCCAGTAGGACCCAGCCCTCCTTTTTTGTTTTTGAGACGGAGTTTCGCTCTTGTTGCCCAGACTGGAGTGCAATGGCAGGATCTTGGCTCACCACAACCTCCGCCTCCCGGGTTCAAGCAATTCTCCTGCCTCAGCCTCCCAAGTAGCTGGGATTACAGGCATGCAGCACCATGCCCCACTAATTTTGTATTTTTAGTAGATATGGGGTTTCTCCATGTTGGTCAGGCTGGTCTGGAACTCCCGACCTCAGGTGATCCGCCCGCCTTGGCCTCCCAAAGTGCTGGGATTACAGGTTTGAGCCACCTGGCCAATGCATTGTTAAAATTAGCCGGGTGTGGTGATGCACGCCTGTGGTCTTAGCCACTCAGGAGGCTGAGGCAGGAGAATCACTTGAACCCAGGAGGTTGAGGCTGCAGTGAACCATGATTGCACCATTGAACTCCAAACTGGGCAATGGAGCAAGACTCTGTCTCAAAATAAATAAATAAAAGTAAATAAATACAGGCATTGTTTTTCTCACTGTACAGGCTTAGAGAATTTATGTGAGCTGGGTGCAGTGGCTCATACCTGTAATCCCAGCACTTTGGGAGGCTGAGGCAGGAATATTGCATGAGCCCAGGAGTTTGAAACCAGCCTGGGAAACGTAGGAAGACACTGCCACTCTCGTCTCTATGAAAATAATAATAATAATAATAATAATGAATTTATGTGACTTCCCAAGGCCAAAAAACCCTGAGCGGTGGTCCTCAGATTTGAACCTGTGTCTAAGCTACTTTTTTTTTTTTTTTTTTTGAAGATGGAGTCTTGCTCTGTTGCCCAGGCTGGAGTGCAGTGGCACAATCTCGGTTCACTGCAACCTCCACCTCCCGGGTTCAAATGATTCTCCTGCCTCGACCTCCTGAAGAGCTGGATTATAGGCGTGCACCACCATGCCTGGCTAATCTTCGTATTTTTAGTAGAGACAGGGTTTCACCGTGTTGGCCAAGGTAGTCTCGCAATCCCGACCTCAGGTGATCCGCCCACCTTGGCCTCCCAAGTGCTGGGATTACAGGTGCGAGCCACCACGCCGGGTCTAAGCTACTGAATGACTTTCAGAGTGATGCATCCAGGAAGCTGTTTTCCCTCTGCAGGTCCTAGACTTCCCCAGTATCCCGAACAACGTCCTCCAGTGGAAAATGTCCTTGGAAAACGCTGACAGAGTCTTTTGAGCCTCAGCCGCACCCGTCACTCGCGCCGCAGGCGGAAGTAGCGGACGGTTGGCCGGAAGTGAGGCTGTGAAGCACGGGTTGCTGCAGGAGCGTTCGTGTCGCCGCAACTCGCGGGGTCCCGGGTTTGTTGTTGCGGCGCCCACCTTCAAGAGGATCAGGTGAGTGGCGGCGGCCGGGCAACAGGTCGCGGCGGCCGCCTCCTGCGCTCACGACCGGCCTGAGCCTTGGCCTGTGCCTCTTGCCCTGCCGGCCGGCCCAGGGCTGGCGCGCACCGAGGCCTTGTTCAGCGCTTCTTGGCCGGGGTTGCGAGTACCTCTCGCAGGCCTGGCTGTGGTGAGAACTTCAGTGATTCTTGCCGCTCCTGACTTTTGTGACCTTTGGCAAGGGGCTTATCTAGCCCTTGCTTTTTCCTCTGTGAAATGGAGATCGTAACAGTACTTGTCTCACGGTGCTGTCATGAGAATGTATAATCTGCCGTGCCTCTCATCACACTTTGATGTGCCTGCGAATCGCTTAGAGATTCTGATTCTGTAGGTCTGGCGTGGGGCCTGAGATACTGTGTTCTTGACCAGCTTCCAGACGAGGCTGAAGCTTCTGGCCCGCAAGACCACTCAATGAGTAGCAAGGCCCTACAGTATTTTGCTTAGTACTTGGGATGCGGAGTCTTCAGTAAACATCAGTATAATAGGATATGTAGTCCCGCCCCCTTACCCCCATTTTTAGTAGTTTCTGAGAGTAGTATTGATGGTCTTCTCCCCTTTGTTTCTCTCCATGGGTAAGAATAGTTACTCTTTCTCTTTCTTTGCAAACCATGACACAGCTCTTCTGTCTTGATTCAGGGAACTTTGGGTTCACTTATATCAAATATGTTCATCAGTCTCCTCGGGTGGTGCGTCACTGATCAGACCCTTGGAGAGTGCTTCATCCAGTGGAGCCGATAGCCAGCTGCTTAGCAGCAACTGTGGCTGACGTTTTGTGCTCCAGTCATTTGTTGCTGCTAGAAGCTTAATTCACATTTTCTGCACTTTGTGAATAGTAAGAATGGCCGCCTTTCCAGAACTAGATTCTGGAATTATCTTGAATGATCTTGGGCAAGTCTTCGGATGATTTTTCTACTACCTGGTAGACTAAAATAAAATCTAAAAAGTCTGTGCTGCATAACAGAACTGAAAAAGTGAAGCCTTTGGCAGTTACACAGGCCTGATGTTTATTAGTCAGTTGATTTTCTTTCCCATCCGTTGGTTTATTTTGCTAGTCCCTATTAAGGCCTTGCCATTCATCATGTGTTGAATAAGTTAACTTTGATATAAAAGAATTCCAAGGTCACGTGCAGTGGTTCATTCCTGTAATCCCAGCACTTTAAGAGCCTGAAGTGGGAAGATTGCTTGAGCCCAGGAGTTCAAGACCAACCTGGGCAACATTAGGAGACTCTGTCTCTACAAAAAAACAAAACAAGAAACCAAAATTTAGCCAGGCGTGGTGGCACGCTTGCAGTCCAAGCTAGTCGGGAAGCTGAGGTGGGAGGATTGCTTGATATCCTTGAGCGATCCTCAGTGGGGTGTGGGGGATGGTGGAGGATACCGTGAGCTGAGATTGCACCACTGCGCTCCAGACTGAACAACAGAGCAACAGAGCGAGACCCTGTCTGAAAAAAACAAAAGGATTCTGAAATTCCTTCTTTGCTTGTCTGAAATACTGTACTATACAGCCTTGCAAATTGTGAAAGCAGATAAAACCCAGTGTTTGTTGAGCTATCAGTTACAGGGCCATGCAGCTGCCTCTTTACTTGCCTGGATTTTATAATTTCTCTAGAAGTCCCATTTAGATGAGCTGAGAGGACATGAGTGCCTACTCCCTGTTGTTACATGGAGAGGTTTTCTAAAGACGGGGTTTTATTAAACCGTTTAAAAGCAGTAGCTCTAACAGAATCATCTATAGGGCTTAGTCATACTATAGCCATCCATATCTTTCTTGTCATTCTGATAGAGGAATACCAGAGTCTTAGAAGAGAAGGGGGAGGGCCGTATAGCTGAAAAAGTTTCACAAATTGTGATACGCTATTTTTTCTCCTGTAAGCATGGAATCTAGAACAAAGAGGAAGGAATGGATTGCTAGACTTAATAATTTTAGTTTGGCTTAGACTTGTGAGTGACACTTGACCTAAACACCTTTGTGCTAGTGCTTCACCTTTGCAGTACTGGTAGACTCCTCTCTCACAGGCCCTGCTCCCACGTGGAAACAGAAACACAGAAGAGTCTAGCCCAGTTAACATCCACATTAACACCTAAGAGTCCTTACTGTCAGTCTCTAAGCCCTCAGTAGGGACTTTGAAGTTTTGTAGATTTTCAGCAAGAGACCTCAGCACCTAGAGAAAGTTCTTTTTTTTTTTTTTTTGCCTTTTTTTTTCCGGGTAGAGACAGGGTCTTGCCATGTTGCCCAGACTGGTCTTGAACTCTTGGCCTCAAGTGATCCACCCGCCTCGACCTCCCAAAGTGGTGGGATTATGGTCATGAGACAACCTGCCTGGTCAGTTTTTTGCTTTTTTTTTTGAGACGGAGTTGCACTGTTGTTACCCAGGCTGGAGTGCAATGGCACCATCTTGGCTCACCGCAACCTCCGCCTCCTGGGTTCAAGCAGTTCTCCTGCCTCAGCCTCCCGAGTAGCTGGGACTACAGGCGTGCACCACCACGCCCGGCTAATTTTTGTTTTTGTTTTTGTTTTTGTTTTGAGGCGGAGTTTCGCTCTTGTTACCCAGGCTGGAGTGCAATGGCGCGATCTCGGCTCACCGCAACCTCCGCCTCCTGGTTTCAGGCAATTCTCCTGCCTCAGCCTCCTGAGTAGCTGGGATTACAGGCACGTGCCACCATGCCCAGCTAATTTTTTGTATTTTTAGTAAAGACGGGGTTTCACCATGTTGACCAGGATGGTCTCGATCTCTCGACCTCGTGAGCCACCGCGCCCGGCTTAATTTTTGTATTTTTAGTAGAGACGGGGTTTCACCTTGTTGACCAAGATGGTCTTGATCTCTTGACCTCGTAATCCACCCGCCTCGGCCTCCCAAAGTGTTTTTTTTTTTTTTTTTTTTTTTTTTTGAGACGAATTCTTGTTCTGTCACCAGGCTGGAGTGCAGTGGCACGATCTTGGCTCACTGCAATGTCTGCCTCCAAGGTTCAAGCAATTCTTCTGTCTCAGCCTCCCCAGTAGATAGAACTACAGGCATGTCCTACCACGCCCAGCTAATTTTTGTATTTTTAGTAGAGATGGGGTTTCACCATGTTGGCCATCATGGTCTCCATGTCTTGACCTCATGATCCGCCCACCTTGGCCTCCTAGAGTGCTGGGATTACAGGCATGAGCCACTGTGCCAGCTGCTTTTTAAATTCTCAGGGTTGCTCAACAAATTATTTGTTGAGACACGAATAGGGTTGGAGTGTTCGTTTATTTGTGGCAATTTTATTGGGACATAGAAAGGAAAAGTGTTAGAATTGAGGGATCAGATCTGGTAATTGGTAAATTGTATGTGTTTATGGTATTATATACTCAGTCTACAGTTAGCATAGCTGCCTTCCTCTGCCTGGCCCCGCTCCTCTAACTTCTGGACTTTAGTTTAAATTGAAGCTATTTGGCCTTGCTTAGACCTGTATGTGGAAGGGAGAGAGGCAAGATGCTTCAGTCCTGTGAAATCACATCATTCAGGGAGGTTGGAGCATTGCCTTTTGGAACTGACAGTGTCCAGGGGTCTCTGAGGCTCTACTCTGTTTTGTTAGGACCCCTAAAGAGGAGATGGGGAGAAAGGTATACTTGGGGCACTTAAACTAGGAAAGGAGCTTTGTGAAATCATATCAGGTATCTTTGAACCTTTATTGAAAAAAGTTGGGTGCGGTGGCTCATGCCTGTAATCTCAGTACTTTGGGAGGCTGAGGCAGGCAGATCACTTGAGTCCAGGAGTTTGAGACCAGTCTGGCCAACATGGCGAAACTCCGTCTCTACCACAAAAAAAAAAAAAAAAAAAAAAAAAAAAAAAAATTAGCTAGGTGTGTTGGCATGTTCCTGTAGTCTGAGGTACTTGGAAAGCTGAGGAAGGAGAATTACTTAAACCACGGAGGCAGAGGTTGCAGTGAGCTGAAATCACACCACTACACTCCAGCCTGGGCAACAGAGGAAGACTCCGTCTCCAAAAAAAAAAAAAGTAAAAAGTTTTAATTTAACACTGAGCATGTCATAGTGTTCTCTTTTTAGCCTTCTTATGGATTCTCTGGGAGTCCTTGAGTGAGGAACTAACCCTTTCAGGTGTGTTTTCACTATCTGGTCAACACATCCTGACTGCCTCTTTCTTGTAGTGTCTTTTCTCCCTACTGTTCTTCTCTGCTGCTTCTGTATCTTCCTTGTTTCTCTTTCCTTTTCCACAGTACTCAAGACCAACTACTGAAATGGCTCAGTTTCAGACATATATATGTAGATATGGTTTCTATGGAGTTGCCGTAAATGTTGCATAGTGAAAAAAAATTAGCCACTGTTTACCATTTGTAGGTTGTCCTTTCATGCCTCTCAGATTCCTTATTTTGTTATCATTTCTGTTATTGAACATCTTTAAAGAAGTTCTACAGAGAGTAGAAGGTGCTTGCCTAGAAATAACTTCAATATTTCCCTTATATATTAAGTTACTTCATTTATTATCTTGAACAATACCATAATATCTTGATAATACATGCATTTTATAAATTTAATTTTGTCAAAATTGTACATGTACATGGTTTAAACAGTCAAATAGTTCAATAGAGCTTGCAACACTAAATATTAGTTTCCTGTCCTCCTCCTTTTCTTTTTGAGACAGAGTTTCACTCAGTCACCAGGCTGAAGTCCAGTGGCAACCTCAGCTGACTGCAACCTCTGCCTCCCAGATTCAAGAGATTCTCCTGCCTTAGCCTCCCAAGTAGCTGGAATTACAGGCACCCACCACCACGCCTGGCTAATTTTTTATATTTTTAGTAGAGACAGGGTTTTGTCATGTTGGCCAGGCTGCTTTTGAACTCCTGACTTCAGGTGATCCATCTGCCTTGGCCTCCCAAAGTGCTGGAATTACAGATATGAGCCACTGGGCCCAGCCAGGTTTTCTCCCTTTTTTGATTCCATTTTTACTCCCTGGAAGTACTTTTAA